CAGCAGACCCAACAGTGGTCCAGCCGGGATGCACAGTCTGTGCCGCAAAGCCTGGAGACCAACACACCGTGGTATTATGAGAAGTTTATGTGAGGTTTTACAGCCGTGTTTTGTTTCTGTTTTATTTTTGTTTTTATTAATAATCCTGATTTCGCCCTTGGTTCTGGACCTGGATGTGCAACAACTTTATTAATGAAAATGAGGGGTGTGTGTGTGTTTTGGTGCACTGGTGTGTGCCCTTGTAACACAGGGTCTCTGCAGAGCTCTCTGCAGGACTGATCTTCCTCAATTTCAGGATGCTGTGGACCACAAGCGCCGGGGCAGTGTCTGCAGAAGCCCGGAAAATGACCTCTCTGAACCAGGCCAGAACAGAAACTTTTCAAGAGGGGGAACAGCGGGTGTCTGGCTAGGCCTGGCATCTGCCTCTATGGATAGCATCCTTGGTGGTGGCAATTTTTTCTTGTCCATGTGAGTGCCTCCAGGGGTCAAGTACGTATCCCTGCAGGACATTTTGGACGTCCAACTCCGCCCGTCCAAGACGCGGCCATTTTGATTTTGATTACGTGATTACGTCACTGCTCGTTTTGATTACGTGATTACGTCACTACGTCACTATCAAAAAGCGCTGCAGCGATATGTACTTGGTTTAAGCTGTTTGTAAATGAGAAAATAGTGAAATTAATCTTGCAAACACTGAATTAAAGTCAATACATAATATTGTGTTAAAATAGTATGTGTTAACCCTCAATTGGACCCATTTCATTTTTTGTGTTGATCAAAGGGCTGGTTATCCTTTTTTGTCTTCATGAAATTAGGTGACTTTTCCTCATCTGGGGTCATGAACTTGTGTGTGAAATCTGGTCACTTTGATGTGTTGTGGGGGGGTCTGTGCAGAGTTTGTATACAAAGATGACGTTGCGGGTCATTTTGACTCGGCCACTTTAATGTGGGTAAGTAGCTGTTCAGATCCAAAAAATCCACCTCTGAGACCCAGACCAAGGTGTGAGTGAAGGATCTGGGTCTGAGGGTCTACATCACCACATCCATATTACTGCTGGTCATACAAGATTTGCCATCACAAGAGTAGTTTGATTCCATCAGCTTTTCAGACCTTCATATCCCCACCAATTAGAGGATGATACTGGAAATGAGCAACTTGGAGGGGAGACCTATGTATCACAGCAACTAACAGCTGTGAGAGCAAGACTGCTTGCGGTTTGATCCAGACTTGAGTCAGGCCGGCTTGATCCCCAGCAGCAGCTATCTTTGAACAGGTCAAGCTCAGGTCCCTCAACCAGCATCCAGTGGACAGGTGAAGAGAAAATGAAAAGCCCAGATGCCCAGGTCTGTCCCTCCCAAGACGACAGTAAAATGAGCAACTCTTGTGTGAAATGTAAGAATTACATCTGCAGAAAGTACACAGTAATATTCCGAAACGTGTTTGTGATGAGGGAAAACACCCACACAAAATGGATATTAATTAAAGTGTTTATTATTTAAAATTGTATTGTATGCCACTTTTCTAAAGGTTTATTCAACATTAGTTAATTGTTTATTGGTTTAACCTGTTTTGCATTCATTTACATAGTACGGGTCAAAATGACCAGCAACATAATCAATATAAATTTTTTCAACATAGTATAAGGGTTAAATAAATAATTCCAAACAAGCTTGTCCCAAAATAAATTTATTTTTCACATATAAAAGTATACAGAAACAACAATAAAATACAATAACAACAATAATAATGATATATACATATACACATTTTGGGCTGGTAGGTGGGCCAGGGGTGGACAGAGGGGGTGGCCGTCCTCTGGCTAAGGGGAAAGGGTAAGGGTGTTGAATTTGGCTGACACATATGAACAAGAATCAATAAAAACTGCATAATCTTTTTGATAGTCAAAAACAAAAAGCAGGCATTCCCTTGCGTCATCTATGTCGTCATCATTGTTGATGTTATGAAACAACTGCCGTCGATCCTCTTCTGTCATTGACAATATGCCGGGCAGTTCAACATGTCCACGGAAAACAGACGTGTTGTCCTGTACCCAGCGTACTGCTTCATGGATTTTTGTCATGGTGCTCTAAGACAAAGACAGAAGTAAATTTGATATCACATTTACATTCAGTACAATACTTTTCACCAATACACATATTCCCATCCTAATAATGTACTGTTAAACCCACTGAGGTCCAAATAATGCTGTGTGTTTGGATGGCCTGAGGAAAACAATTGTTTCAACATCCACACATTGTATCATGATACACTACATCACGTGCGTGCATACACACCAGACTTACTGTTAGGTGCTGCAAGTGCAGTATCAACCACTAAAACCTTCTTAACCCCCTACACCTGAATACCTGTTCAAGGGATTCCTCGGGATTTATGTCCCCCATACGTTGAATGTTGCTAAGAAAGAAAGAAGAGACCTTGTGAGGAGTATAGTACAATTATAGAATATTTTGTTTTTAGAATGGATTTACAGTTGTTTTTTTTTTTAATCCATCATACCTTTCCGGGTTTTCGGCTGGCAAGACATTAGATGCCAAAGCAGTGTCATTAATGCTGTCAAATAAAACCAGCAGAGTATTAGGAACAGGTTTGCTCCTCATGGAATCATTACATTGAAGAAAATAAGCAGTAATTGCATACTTTGCAGCAAGAGTCATATTTGCAAGCATCGAATGGCATCACCACCTTCGGAACCATGGCATGTCATCCTAAAAGAAACAAAGTGCAAACAGGCTCACAATACAGGTTTAAAATAAAGGATGCTTTGTCAGTATGACGAAGGCTGTGTGAAAATATCAGTTAATGAGAGTAGGAATACTCAAACGGTCATACTCTGTAAAACAGAAACAAAACCACTTATAAATAACTCATAGAACTGAAGTAGTTGCATACAGTTGTGGTGTAAAACAAACCACATCCATGTCTGCAACCCTACCTGCATGATGCACATCATGTTTAAGGTGATTATCAATATGACATGATAATTTGTAATTATTCTCTGTAGAGAATCTGCAGCAGGGGCAGTTGAATATGCCGTCCTTGAGGTACTGCTGAATGGCTGGACGGTCTTTAAAGTGTGTTGAATGCTGAAAAACATGATCAAATAATGCATTATGCGTTAATCATCATAGTGGTTCTTCACAGGGCTTAAACATGCCTTAAACATTTGAAGATTCATCGAGCTGGTCTGCTGACAAACATTGACCAAAACATTTGTCTTTTTCTGTGCATGTACAGTTTTAAAATATATTAATGATTATTATCTATGACAATAAGCTGTACTGTTCGCCAACATAGTCAAAACTTTTGTAAATGGACATTGTGTTACAAGTTAAACCGCTAGCAACTCTGCTAAGTATACTGATATGTGTAATTAACGTTAGCAGGCTAATAACGTTCTATTTCTCAAGCCGAAATCATTTTCACTAACTGGCTTTTACTAATCTTGCATACTTTCGTGACACAAACATGATAACGTTCTGTAATGTTCATTTGACATCGCGGGATGGATATTGCATAAACTCAATTTCACAAGAAACATCTTTAAGTAAAACAAAACAGGGCCTAGCGCTAGCTAACATTAAATTGAAGGTACTCTACAAAACTACTACTTTTTCGTGCAAAAAACTAATGAACACAATAAACTAGATGGTCACATCAAATATCATAAATATTTCATCCAGCAGGGTCAACACAGTAATATCGTCAACATGAACATAAAATTATGTATTTTTCACATACCGACATCGTTCGTTTTAAGGCTTCTCTTCGTTTGCCGATTCGCTATGGCCAGTAAAGTTTGTTTGCGCCTAAGAAAATTCATAGTCGCATGACGTCATCAAATGGCCGAGTCTTGGATGGGCGGAGTTGGGCGGAGTTGGACGTTGGATGGGCGGAGTTGGACGTCCAAAAGGCCCTGCAGGGATAAGCGTCTCCCAGGGGTAGGCTGGGTCCCCTGCTTCACATTTGGGGCAAAGACCTTCTTTGCCCATGCGCCTTTCAGCTCCGATGATTTGCCGCATCAGCTTGGGGCTGACGTCTAGGGATGTGGTGACCCAACCGGGTTACACCCTGGGCGAACGTCTGCCGGGGAGGGAGGGGGTGGCATCTTCCTGGGCAGGCACAGTTGAAGCAATTACCCCTCATTCTTTTCCTCACACCCTCTCAATGGTGGCCACAGCCGCTCCAAAGAGGCCCTTTGGGTCCCCAGGGATGTCTAAAAGGTGGGCTTTCTCTTTCTGGGATAGGCTGGAGAGATTGAAGTGCTTGCTAGACCACGCACCTGTGTACACGTAAGCAGAGGTCGGTGACCACACAAACTCCCTCCCACACAGCTGAAGAGGGTGAGGTTGTTATCTCCTGCGGTTCAGCCTGGTAGGCGAGCTAAAGAGATTATGCGTTCAGGGCCCTCACTGACATGGCCACAGACTTGTGGCCCTTTTCAGTCAGTGAGGACTGGAAGCATTCCGCCCTTGATGGCAGAGTGGTGGGTGGAGGTGGGATGCCAGGAGAAGCTCAGCCGGGGAAATGTGGGAGAAGCCTCTCTCCTTCATGGCCACCCAGTCCAGCGATGAGCCTCCCTGTGTGGTGCTCTTCGCAGTTAGTGGGTTACTCCACGTGCGAGTCGCTTCCTCCTGGCACTCAGGGAACACCAGCAGAAGCTGTCTGGTGGAGGGTTTAGTCTTGGGGAGCTGCATTCACTCATAGCCAGACATAGAGGTGTCGGCTGGGATTTCCAGCCACTCAACGCCCAGCTTTGCAGCTGCCCTCCTGCAGATAACATGCAGGTTGGTTCTGGCGGGTTTAGCCGCCACTCGCCTCCTCCCTGTAGGTCAGCTTTGCAGCCGACGAGGGAGTAAAGGAGTCATCCACATCTGATTCCTTGTTGGTATCGAGGCTGATGGACTCGTCCCCCGAGTCTACATCCTCCACCACTTCCAGGGTGTCCTCCTCTGTATGTAGCAGGCATGATCCGGGGACATCGTGGACTGAGAGCAGGGTGACGACATCAAGGTGGTCGCCCTAGCTGCTGACCAGGGGGTAGTGTCTCCCCTGGTGCACCCAGCCTCTGACTCCGGTTGTGTTGGGGGGTTGGGTACCCCCAGCAACGGGTCAGTGTTAGACAAGCTGGCCAGCCTCGCCAGGCTGTGCTGAGGGATCTTGTTTTGCTATCCTATGTGACGTAATGGAGCATCTCGCCCAGCTGAATCAGAAGCTGCAGGGATGCAAACAAGTCATCACGCAGATGTCCGACATGATCACATTTCCAGCGGAAACTTGACATATAGAGCTGCCAATTGGAACACAACAATCTTGCCCGTTTCTCAGTCTGTCAGAACATCTCGGCCTCAGTTCCTGGTGTGTTTTCAACTAAGCCAGTTAATGAATGATTTGATCGCCGCTTCTCTGACCTTAGAGCACAGCACTCTGGTTTTTCATCTTTACCAGTCCTTTCACTGCCAATGTCAGCAGTGTGCCTCATCACCTTCAGCTGTAGTTAATCGTGCTGCAAAGCAACAGTGGCCTGAGAGCAAAGAACAAGGATTTTGCAATCGAGGCCTTTTACCGTCTACTGCCCCCCGGTGTGATGCCACAGCTTTGACTTCATGCTGCCCGTGTTCGGTCTATGTTTGGGAGCACTTATCACGGTCGTGACACCAGGACCCAAATACACAACTCCAGGCAAGAGAATCAGAGGAAGACGTTTAATCCAGAAAAAGGTCGGTACACGGGTAGGCAGTAGATCATGCTAAAGTACAAGAACGGCAGGCAAAAACGGAGGTCGAGAAAAGGCAGGAAAAGGTCAGGATAACAAACCAAGACTAGACTAGAACGCTTGAACGACTGACGAAGAGACAAGTACGAACACGCGACGAACGAGCGACAGACTGGGGACTAAATACACAAGACAGGGAAGTAAACAATGAGACACAGGTGGAGGTAATTAGGGAGGAGTCAGGAATCAACAGAGAGCAAGTGGGAAAGCCACACAGGGACCAAACAGGAAGGACTACAAAACAAAACAGGAAACGTGACAAGACACCCATGACACACTTATCTGTGCGAACAGATGTTTTCAGTCATGAATCTGAACAAAAACCAGCACCGATCACGCATCATTAATGACAACCTATTTGCTGTTTTATGTATTGTCACAGAACAGGAGCTAAAACCAAACATCGACACACTGGCCAAAAGAAAACTATTTCAGACATCTCGCCAGAAAAAACGATAAGTAAGCATTTTTAAAAACCTGATTAAAATATACGGTAACATGTAGTTCAACCAAGAATAAGAATACTTATTGCAATTTAATGATTGTGCTTGGATTTTGTTTTTTTGTTTGTTTTCAGAACATGATCAATGGATGTGGGTGGTGGAGAGGGGATCCAATTGTTGTGTTCAAGGACAGGCAGTATATCCTCATTTCAACTCATAGCTGTGAACTGAGACAACCCTTATTTTGTTATTATCAGTTTCATTACATGTACTACTTTATGTGTAGCAATGTAGTTGTTGTTCTCAGGTTTATGTGTTAATATAGACAAATGTTTACTTCTGCAGGCTGTGTGTAGCCATTTCTTTTTGTAAAATGCTGTCACACATGTTCTTGGCAGCTGGTTCGTTGTTATTGTCATATGTTATTCTGACCCTCTCTACTATGTCAAAACTGTTTTAAACAATTCTAAACAATTTAATGTAATAAACTATTGTTTAGTTTTAATGTTGGTCAATGGAGTAATGTGGGTTTCAACCTGAAAATTTGAATATGTAATATTCGTTACTTCAAAAAGTAATACAGAAAGATATTTAACAATATGTTAGAGTAGTAATATTTATTATGCATTATATTGGGTTACATTTGTCCAAGACCCAGTAATAAGTTCAGTATGTCCTGGCCTTGAGAGCAAAACTCAACACACTAGGGCAGTTATCACGTGAAAATTTTGCTCCAGGCCCAGGAACGCCAGCATTGGCTGTACGACGAGTATCTTGGTTAAGACAATTTTTAGTAAAGAAAGTGCTTGTATAGCTCTCATCTCCCAGCTCTAAATTATTTGCCAAGTAGCAAGGTCCCTTTGTGGTCACACGACGAGTAGGTGACGTTGATTATGAGCTTGAGCGATCTGACAGGGGAGGAGATACACAGATTTATCACCTCAACCTCATTAAAGTTAGGAGAGAGGCTGAGTCTGTTTCATTGGTGACGGCAATTGCAGAGAGAGATGAGTTGGGACTGAGGTACCAAATTCGACCAATCCTGTCTCGCTCCAATGTGAAAACCATTGGAGAAAACAGACATACCCATGATGCAAGAGCGTTATACTGATGTGTTCTCCCCCCTGCCAGGATGCACAAGCCTTAGTCAACACCATGCTGAGACTCACCCAGGTCGACCACCCTATCAGTTGCCTGAGCACAAGAGAAAAGTGGTTCAAGCAGAATTGGAGGCTATTTTGGAGTTGGGGATGATAGAAGAGTTTAATAGATCTATCCGGCTCTGTGAAGACACAGCAAGGTGAATGACGTTTCACGGTTTGACGCTTACCCATCTCCCGGGTTAGCGAACTCCTGGATTGCCTGGGCATGGCTCTTTTGTACGACGCTGGATTTAACCAAGGGCTACTGGCAGATTCCCTTATCTCCGGAGTCCATGGATAAAATGGTCTTCTCTACTCCATATGGGTTGTACCAATTTGTCACATTTCTGTTCGGGTTGTTCGGGGCCTCAGCCACATTTCAACACCTCGTGGACTGGTTGCGGCGCCTGTATGCTGCGTATTGCTGCCGCCTACCTGGATGATGTTATCATCCACAGTAACACCTTGGCGGAGCATGTGCAGCAGATGGCCAAAGTGCTCCAGTGAGGCAGGCGAGACTGACGGCCAACCTGAAGAAGTGTGCAGTTGGACGGAGGGAGGTAGGGTATTTGGGGTACCACTTGGGTGGCAGGCAGGTGTGTCCACAGTTGGACAAAGAAAGTAGCGATTGCAGCCTGCCCAAGACCCAAGACCAAGAAAGAGGTGCGGCACGTCGGGCTCTGCCCGATGCCCAGACCGCGTCGGACAGAGGGCTGGGGGCCATTTCATCCCAGCCAGGGCAGGGTGTCGAGCGCCCGGTTCTTTACATCAGCCGGAAGCTGTCGGAAAGGGCGGCCAGTAACAGCACTGTGGAAAGGGAGTGCCCGGCCATCTGGTGGGCGGTCGATGCACTGCAGTACTATCTGCTGTGGCGCCCATTCACCCTCTGCTCAGACCACGCTCCCTCCAGTGGCTCAACCGCATGAAGGATGCCAACGCATGGGTCACCCATTGGTATCTGGCTTTACAGCCGTTTGAATTCCCATTCGCATGTGGGGTTAGGTTGGATGGCTTCCTAGCTTAAGCCGGGTGATGGAGGTTTGTGGAGGGGGTGTGGTGCTAAGCTGCAGGAGGGAGGTGTGGGGAAGGCTCTGGGGAGCAGTGTCTGGGGAGGTGATTAGCACACCTGGAATTAGTTGGCTAATCACTCTCCTCTCGTTAAAACAGTAGCGCGCTGGACCTGGTGGGACACAAGGAGCCAGCAGCGGAGCAGGAAACAGCCAGGACCCGCTCCGAGGAATGTGTCCATGGGTGCATGCATGTATATGTCGAAATAAGAGACATAAACTGGAAAACTGGCGTTGCACATCTGTTAAGGCACCCACGGCGGCTTAACCCAGCCACACTCCTCTTTAATTCTTTATAGCTGGAGTGCATTTGATAACTCAAGGCACCAGGACACAACATAGTCTGTGTTTCAAATGAACAGTTACGGCAGCTACAAATCTTTAGAAAAGATGAAGAGAGTGTTTAGTATGTTCTGTCATCTTAAAGTTGAGGATGCATCTGAGGACAAGGTTGAACCTACAAATACCAGATATGGCTGAAGAAATGTTCCAGAAGACGCGCTGAAGGACCAATATGAAACTGGAGTTCTTACAAGAGTGCTCATTCCATGATTTTAAACTAAAAACAAATAAGGCATTTGTTCTAATAGAACAGACAAAAGAGTCCTCTATGACTGCATTCTACAAACAGACCTACAAACAGATACTTATTGAATTAGCATTTTCCTTTGGTAAAGTATTTACAGCCTTGCTGGTTGCTAGTTTGAAAACAAAATTTTGTAATAGAAAAGAAAACTTTCATTTAAGCATAAAAAAGCACCTGAATCATGTGATTAACACCTGTTCACAAAACTGACCACTTAGTGACAAATTGAAATACTATTTCTAGGCATTAAGTTGCAAGTAGGCTGTTTACAAAGACAATATTTTTTCCCATTTCATAAGCTCCATCTATAAAATTAGCTAAAGATAAAGCAATTTGACTGAGACAAAGAGTATTTGCTCACCTTCAGTTTACTTGCTAAGCCAATACCATCAACCATATCACAACATACTCACAAAGTCTCTGAAAACATTTAGTTGCAAAATCATGTATGATTGGCTCTGCTTTTAGGTTTACCCTAATCTTTTCTTTAGCTTAACCTTTTTGGCATTGTTTTCTTTAAATTTTTAGCTTGCCACTTATTACATTTTGCTAATTAGCGCAAAGATTTGCACCTGATCCTCAGAAATATTTAAGTCAGTCTTACCTGGATCGCTCCTAAACTCTGATTAAATTAGATGCAAATTGATGAGGGTCTATAAATGAAAAGGTGCTGTATAAATTCATGACATGAAGCCTAACCCAGTCTGAAGTCTAACCCAGTCTTTTTTTCTGTTTCTAAAGAAGCAAGTGAAAACAGAACTCTCAAAGGGCTGAAATCCTGGTGTCCTAGTTTAAATAATTTGAGTAACAGCAGCCTCCCACTGGAGTCAAACGCAGCTAAACAAAACTCAATTGTCTTATATATTTTCCCAAACTTTTAATGCATACTTGCTTTTCGGGGGGAAAGGGTTCAGACGAACGCACAAAGGTTGGCCAGTGAAATGGAAAAAATGGGAACGTGGTGAAAAGTGGTGCATCCACCATCGCTCATTATTTGTCCTTGTGTAGAAGAGCTGCCCTGTCTGTGAGCTGGCTCTTGGGATCCCATTTAGTTACATTGTTGTAAAGTGTGTACCACTGTAAATGAGGGAGAGTGTGTGTGTGTTCATATGTGCCAGGTGGCCTCTTGAGGCTCTGGGCTGGGAGAACACCTGCCTGTATACCGCCCGCAGCCTTTGTTGTCCCATGTGTTTCAGTTTGTTATTGTGTAACTTATTGTAACATGCTGCCAAGGGCTGCATGGAAAATTATTGTACAGTGCACAAAAGCTACTTAGGGTTACACTATTTACCACACTAATTCTTGCCTTACTCCTTTGGTTTTATCTATCAGTGTCTTGTCTTGATCAGACAAGGGACCATTGTTTATGCTGTTTTATGCCACACATGTTTTGTCTGTCTATTCAGTGGGGATATGTAATTAAATGTATTTGTATATGTATAATGTGCAGAAATGTTCCTAAAAGTTCATAGAGAGCCATTCATAAGTCACATGGATGATTCAGTTAATTTATGGACGGGCCTTCATTAACTGAACAACGTTCGCTAAAAGGAAGAACATAGACCATAGAAATATAATATATATGGCCAGTTTTTTGTGTAATTTGGCATCACTCAGTTAAACAGGGAGACAATGCCTGCTTAAGAATGGCTTTTAAACAGGCACCCCTCCACAGACAACATTTCTGATTAGGTTTCAGTGAAAAGTGGATTGATCAACTGAAGGTCTACATCTCATATGTCCTTTTATGAGATTGATTGATTTCCATGGTTATTTCTTAAGCACATCTTTTTTAGGTTTGTTATGTATTCAGCAGATACTTTTATCCAGAGTGACTTGCAACACACGTTACAATTGAAGTAAGATTAGCGTAGCATGCAGGGCCTAGCCAGGTGACCCTTACTCGATAGTTGCCCTAGTCAGGATCTTAACCCCCAACCTGTTGTTCCATAGATTATATATTTTACCATTACACAATCTAGCTGCATGATAGATGATATTCACCTGTTGTAAAAAAAAATTGGGGACACTTTTGCCTCCTTTGTCCTCCACCTGTCCAGTTTGCTCAGATTTTTTAGTGGCACACTTTCTTTCAGGGAGACCTGATTATATGGAAAACTTTCAAATGGACCAATAAAGTCTGGCCTTTTATAAGAAAAATCTAAAGAGAAAAAGGGACTGTTGCACTGTCCTTCACATGTACCCAGGGGGCTGTAAAGTTAGACACATTCTTGCGGATGAGCAAATTATTTTTTTAAAAGCCCTGCCCAGCCTAATATTAGTGCCTGAGTGACGTTTATTAGGTGCTACAATGTAGAGACGGATGAGTAATAATCAATCAAGGTGTTCTGAACTGTACTAGGCCAGCACAAGAGCCATTTTAGATGTATTGATTTATTTT